ATATATATATATATATAAATGAAGACCCTTTTGTGTTTGGTCCCCTGAGACCTCCATGATCAGAGAGAATCTATATTTCTTCTCCTCTCCTCTCAAGAAATTCAGCAGCAGAGAAAACACAAGGCATCATGAACCGATTCACCGTGTCTAAATAACCCCGCCGTCTTGAACAGACAACAGGCAACGTGGCAGGAGAACAGCTTCACTCAATAATCTCGTTTATCTATTCACCCATCAGGGAAACAAATCAGTTGTACTTTGGATTGTCTTAGCTGTCAAATGTAATGCAAAAAATATGAGAAACCTCTTATCAAACCACAGTGAGGGTAATTCACACGCTTCCATTCTTCTCCCACACTGAGCAAAAACTAAATGCCTACAAGGAGACATGTAACATGGCATGTGTGCATGGGCCAAACAAGCCTCCTCCCACAGACTCGTGGTGATCCTATTACTGCTTAAAGAGAGGAGTGGAGGGGGTCTTTTTCTTTACACAGCAATTAGCCTAATGCAGCATTAACTTTGACCTGCAATGTGCATTTGCCACGACTGCCTGAACTGTCAATGCATTAGTATTCACATCACAAAACCCACCACCATTTTTCCCTCCTTTTTACAGTGTCGCAGATCCTGCCTTAGACTCATTATTGGACTATCCTCATCCAAAGCCTTGTTTTACTCAGTGGATCAATGAAATTCTATTTGAACATCTGTTGGCCAAAACAGCTGTAGATAGCCACTCCAAAAGGAAAGCCCTAATAGGAATTTACTGTTGTCCTTCCACAAGGACACTTCTCTTTGTTTCAGAATAATAAACAGCCACTAATCAGCTCTAAATAAATCATTTATCCTCCCAGGACTTTCTTCTACGTATGAAATGAGGCATTGTTAAGGTAGACTGCTTTCAGCTAAGACACAGTCATTCAGTTTAGTATGTCTGCACACTGAAAAATGGTTTTGTCTGTGTCCTATTTTTTCCCTTTGTCCACAATGTACTGTAAAATATAATGAGCTAATATTAACTCACAATGAATCCCAGCAAAATGAATGATGTGTGTCTTTGTGAGTGTAGGTGTGTGCTTGTAGGTGATGCATTAAGCATATCAATAAACCTGTCATCTTGACATATGCCCTCCTGTGCTTTCTTCCTCCAAACAGCAGCCTTCGTTCAATTAGTGGACCGTAAACATGCTGCTTTTGGCTGAGATGTTGCATCTTTTTAATTCTCGGTATCTTCCTATTAACCGCTGTGGACCCATTCTTTTGCATTCACATGACACTGTAGACTGTATCTGGTGTAGTACAGGTTGAGGCAGAAAGTCCACTGGTTTCTCCATCCTGAGTTCTGTGCACTGAAAAAATAGATTAAACTCAGTTATGCATCCATGCAAACTGGCCCACACGTAAATGAATAAGCATGCAAGAATGCACACATTACTGTATGCTTGCACCCATTAAAATATTCACAATTACGCTCTTTGTAATTTCACTTGTTTAGAGCACATTTTATTCTTCCAATTACACTTTTGTTTGTCAAGCATCAGTGTATCACCAGATCACAAATTAAAGTATTTATTATGAAATTAGAGATATTATTTTGTGAATCTCTATAACACAAAATGCATTTTCTTGCTAATTGAAGTGATTAGTCTTTGTTAAAACAACAAAAAAAAGCCATTAAATTATTGTCCTTCAGCACTGCTTGGTTCTAAAAAAAAAAGGGGTTTCTATAACAATAACTAGGCACAAAAAAGGCTTGTCAGTCAAAATCTTGGTCTCCATTATGATCTGTTTGCTTACAAACATATATAGGAAGTTGTCTTTTTCATGCAGATGAGTTGTAGAGGTCAAATGAGTCCCTTTTAGACTTCTGTGTCATGATGCCAAGTTGTCTATGATGCAGGTAAAGTAGAAAAAAAATTGTTTTTTTGTCATTTTTTTAAACTTTATTAATGCGAGACACAGCTTCCAACTCACAGTTGCATTTACAGGAAGCATTGCCAAATGTTTTATGGCTGCACATCAAAGGAAATGATGATAGCATGATCTCTGGCGAGACCGCCGTTACTCAGTCAGTCTTCCCAGCCCCGGAGCAGATATCCGCTATCTTCTGCTTCCACTGCCATCACAACTGCAGATTTGAATGTGTTCGTTTCTGCATGTGAGGTGGTTTGTGGATTCCTGCTAGGTGCTTTATGCTTATGGAAACACACTTTTGTTACCAATATATAAATCAGATTATTGGAGACACCTTTTCTATTCATTTAGGTACAGTAACCATTACTCATGTAGCAGAGAATAATGAATCAATTATTGTGCAAATTAATCTTGGTACTACACGCGTGCTTGGATCAGGCTCTGAGAAATTCTCACTCTTAATATAGGCCAATACTTTAAAGACAATTTATCATTAATGAGACTGAAGTGGATTATGGCTCAGGACTATGAGAGACTGTAGATATATGATGTGGGGTTTTCTCTACCACCTTTCCCTGTCAATTCAGGCTTGACATCATTCTGATTTCTATGTGTGACTATAAAAATCCTCCGGTTGAAATCAAACAATCATTGAAATAATCAGGGAAAAATAAAATAGGCCATACAATAGCTGGATGAAATAAAGGCTTGAGTTACGCTCAGTGTTTAAATTAGTCCTGCGTGAGCTATATATCGGCTAATGTGCCTGACAGTCCATTTTCATCATAGCATCTTCTCCTGGGAGTAATATAATGTCTGCCCTTCAGGCGATGTAAATGAAGAAAAATGTAAAACCCTGAGCCGAGGCTCAGACTGTGCATCAGTGAAGTTAAATGTGATTGAAGCGCAGTGTTGTAGCCTATAGACTAATTTCATCTTATGGGAGGAAACCCAGAAATGCCATATTAATATGTAATTACCACTATTACAGTTTCCTGTCTCAAGTTTGAATATCCACATTATATAGAGGATAATGGATATTTTTTCCCTCATAATGTTAAATAGGTTGGGACTTTAATATGCTAACACATGTCTAAGTTAGTGTATGCATGTAAGTATTCCATTTTGAAAATGCCATTACTGCTATTTTACCACTGTGTGTTTCAGTTAGGGTGTTTCTGTGCCATGTGTCCCATCAGGTGGTCAGGTTCAGGTGGTCCATTTATGACATATTGTTATGGGAAAACAAAACCATAAAATAAATGAATGAAATAATGTGAGAAGTTTATTTCGGTATTTGATTATCAGGGAACTGCAGGATGTTTGTACCATTGGGGTTAAGTAGAATGAAGTACAAATATCTCAGAATAAAACAATATGTAGCTTTTTGGTGTTTTCACACAAAAGTCAGAGGATAGTTTATGCAACACCATCCATCCATCCATCCACTTATTCTAACAGGCTTGTCTTTGCACTGTTGGAGGAAGGCATGGAGACACAGGGAGAACATGCAAACTCCTCAGAGAAAAGCTCCAGAATGAATTTGAACCCACGACCTTCTTGCTGTGAAGCAACAGTCGGGCCATTGAGTTCAATGAGTTTCCATAGCGGCATTATTTTTCAGGATGTGGTGCCCTCTTGTGACTTTTGTGCAAATTTCAATCTGCTGAAAACATAAGTAAAGAGATAAATTCATCCACATAGTCTCACAGCAAGTTGCATTCAAAACAATAAATATTAACCGAATAGTTAATGTATAACAGTTGTGCTATAACTAAACTAAAATGGTATTGAATACAATGTAAAATAAAGATAGTAATAATAATATTTAATAATACGCCAGTCCTGTGGGGGCGCTGCCAGGCGTTTCTAGACCTTAGGCCTCTTTTTCCTCGGAGCGGAAGTTCGACTGTTGTTTATCCGGCTCTGCATCGTCTTGTCGTGTGAGCAACGATGGCTAGCACTGGTGCAAAACAAGCGCCTAAAATTGTCTCCAAAACTTCTGCGGGAGGCACCGGGGCGGCGGGGGCTAGTGGTGGGCCCCCGATAATGCCCCTCGCCTCTCCGCTCATGGGGAAAAAGAAAAAGCCGTTTCTAGGGATGCCTGCTCCGCTCGGTTACGTTCCCGGTCTCGGCAGAGGGTGAGCTAACTTAAAGCTACATGCTGCTAGCCAGATTGACCCTTTTTTTTTCAATCGTACTAACCCAAGTTAATAATGAGTAAAATTTAAGTACAAGGTAGTTTTACAATACATTAATTAATTGGTTAATATATATATATAATTTATACGTGAATAAAGTGCATATCGTTTCCTTTACCATGGCAAGTACGCCAGACTATGAAGTTTTTAAATAGTTTAGTGGTTTTATGATTTAATTGCTTTACCAAACGTGAACTGTTAAATTGAAATTTAATTCAAATAGAGTTAAATGTCAATATATGCTCTTCCTAAATCCATAGTCATCTAATATATAATCTGTTTTAGACAAGCGAGCAAAATTTAAGTTAAAAAGTCATAGTGATCAAAATAGTGTTATGTCACTGTGTTATAGAGAAGAGTAAAGATCTCGCGGTATAATTTTGGCCTGGCTGTGTTTATTTATGTCACATTTAAATGAATGCTTTTCCCTCCAGTGCCACCGGTTTCACCACCCGATCTGATATCGGTCCTGCTCGTGATGCCAATGATCCAGTGGATGACCGGCATGCACCCCCTGGAAAGAGGACGGTCGGGGACCAAATGAAAAAGAACCAGGATGATGATGATGAAGATCTGAATGACACCAACTATGATGAGGTATCTGTGATTTGTTGTAGATAAAGGTTTTTTTTTCTGAGAGTTTAAATGATCAAGTCACAATTTTAACGCCAATTTCTTTTATTATGAGCAGTTAATTTGATAATCTTGTCATACTTTGTTGTTTTGTTGTTTTTCTTGTAGTTTAATGGTTATGCAGGTAGCTTGTTCTCAAGTGGGCCCTATGAGAAAGATGATGAGGAAGCCGATGCTATATATGCAGCGCTGGACAAGAGGATGGATGAAAGACGCAAAGAAAGAAGGTTACAAAAAAAAAAGAGTCTATTGTTTAATTGTTTATCAATGCACAGTGTATTTGTTTTCAAATATATTATGGATTTTATATTGCAGGAGTCTTTTGTTCATGGTTGTCGTTGTATTTTAGGGAGCTGAGAGAAAAGGAGGAAATTGAGAAATACCGTATGGAGCGGCCAAAGATTCAGCAGCAGTTCTCAGATTTAAAGGTAAGAGATTGACCCTAATATTCCAAACCTCTCTTCTGCATCATTTATGGAGTTAAAAAATCTAATGTTGTCTTCTTTTTGCACTAAAATATATCTCATGTATATCTCATGCATATATCTTTCTACGTAGCACTTTTAATTCTTATTCTTACTTTTATTTTTTCATGTCTATTTAAGCGCAATTTATGACAGTATGTTTGCACTGAAGCACCGCAGCAATTTCCTAATGTTGTAAACCTGCTCAACATTTGGCAATAAAACCCTTTCTGATTCTGATTCTGAAAAGCATCTTAAATGCATTTTGGTTTTATTGGCTTTATTATCATATCTACAGAAGAAAAGGATTAATATTATCCAATGCAATTCTTTGGTTGAATCAGAATCAGAAGGCTTTTTTTTAATGCCTGAGGAAATTATGTGATCAGAGTTTCTCCAAGACTGTAAGAACAGCAGCTAACTAAAATAAATTAAATATTTCAATATATTGCAAAGTTATGCAATATAATAAAATAGCTCTAATATACAAAAATGGCTTTAATGATAAATGTCCCAGTATATTACACAAATGAAATATATAGTTGACATTGTGGTGCCCCTCCCGTCATACTGTGCTTTTTTGTTTTCTCTGTAGAGGATGTGCAAATAGTAAGCATGTGCAGGCAGTACAGCATACACTGTGCTTTAAATGGAAGAATTATACAATGAGATAGCCACAGGCAGGATCGGTTATAGTCTCTAGATTCATGATTTTTAAGCAATGAATTCCCAGGCTAAGATCTTTCTGTGAAAATAGCTTAGTCATAGCCTAGTAGTGAAAAGTGCCTTGCATGTTTGTCTCTGAAACAGTGTTCCTTTTTCTTCTTGTTTTACTGAGGAAATAAAATACTGATTAAAATAGAGGTGCTATTTTAATCAGTACAGATATTTGCAGATTCTGTGCAGTAAATCACATTTAGCTTAGGTACTCGGGTATTATCAAACAATCGTAAATGAAAGCAATGCTCACATCCCATTCTTTTCTCCAACATCTTTCTTTACCATTTCTCTACAGAGGAAGCTTGCAGAGGTGTCAGAGGAGGAATGGCTGAGCATTCCTGAAGTGGGAGATGCCAGAAACAAGCGCCAGAGGAATCCCCGCTATGAGAAGCTCACCCCTGTCCCCGACAGCTTCTTCTCCAAACACTTGCAGAGTGGAGAGAACCACACCTCTGTTGACCCGTTGCAAGGGGTCAGTATACTGTGTATACAAATAGAAATAATTTTTGTAACTCATATTTACTTCCAAGTGCACTTCACTAAACTTCAGGGTGTAGTTTCACTATGGCCCAGCAGGAGTCAGGATATCTCCTTGGAAAAAAAGTTACTCTCCAGTTACAGCAGTTTGCTCAGTTTTTGTCTGTTTAACAGACTGGACACCTGTTGCTACAGTAATTGGTCACACGAACTTTGTTGGCATTTAAAATACATTTGAAAGGGACACTTCATTGACCTGTGCATGCAGATAGACGTCCATGAATTGAAAATGGAGACACGGCGTGCTGATTTAAAAAGTTGAGTTTTTTAAGAGGTATAGCCTCCTAACAGAGAAAAAGTCATTGCTTGACTTTAAATTAAAAGATTGAAGTAATTTGTGTCATTTTGCATTGGCTAGAAAAGTGTTACATGATTCAGGCTTTTGTTTCAAGAGCTGTTTAAACGTGCCATGACAGACTTCTCACAGACTGTGTTGCTCCTCTCTGTTGACATTGTTTCCTATCTCTACTAGCTGGGAGGTCTGAACACACCTTATCCAGGAAGCATGACACCTGGTCTGATGACACCAGGGACCGGAGAACTGGATATGAGGAAAATTGGTCAGGCCAGAAACACACTCATGGATATGAGGCTCAGTCAGGTAAATGATGCATCACCTAGCGCAACTTTCACTTTTACTTTCTTCTAGGATTCATGCTGCTGCCATTATACTGATAGAAACAACTTAACTATTCTCTATCCCTTTGTCTACGTGTTTTCTGTATTCAGGTGTCTGACTCAGTGAGTGGACAAACAGTAGTGGATCCCAAGGGTTACTTGACAGATCTTAACTCTATGATCCCCACTTATGGAGGAGACATCAGGTAGAGAGACACTGACAGCATCAGATTGCTATATTTGTGTAAAAGAAGTTGCTGTGTGTATATGTGTTTAATCGCTTATTTGTGGCTCTGCTTGTTCAGTGACATCAAGAAGGCTCGTCTGCTGCTGAAATCAGTGAGGGAAACAAATCCCCATCACCCACCTGCCTGGATTGCTTCTGCCAGGCTGGAGGAGGTGACTGGGAAGTTGCAGGTGGCCAGAAACCTGATCATGAAAGGCACAGAGATGTGTCCGAAGGTAAAGGAAGTTAAACAGTACAATAAAACTATTAAATGACAACACAAGGATGCTGATGTTTTCTGGATATTTTGCTCAAATTAACCCTATAATCTCTAAGATTGCATTTCTTAGAATATGGTATTAGTATATCGCTAGTATTATAATGTAACAGCTGCTTAAATTTAATACGCAACATTACTTCTTGAATAAGTTGCAAATGGGGGCAATGGTTTGTGCTTTCCTATTTAAATAAGTGTTTTCCCTTTGGATTAGAGTGAGGATGTGTGGCTGGAGGCTGCCAGGCTCCAGCCTGGTGACACAGCTAAAGCGGTGGTAGCCCAGGCTGTCCGTCACCTTCCACAGTCTGTGCGCATCTATATCCGAGCTGCAGAGCTGGAGACAGACGTCAGGGCTAAGAAACGAGTCCTCAGAAAGGGTAAGGTTGTCATTTATCCCCTCCAATATTTAACAAAAAGCTTTTTTGTGTGTTTGTGTTTATTTATTCACAGATTACCAGAAATTCGTCTTCCTGTTATGATATGAGCCGAAGTTCATGCGATTTCCCAGCAATGCATATCAGAATGAACCATTTCTGCCAAAAGAAAGAAACTTAATTTCTGCAGGGCCAAAACTCAAGACCAGTCTCAATCTGTTTATCTTCTTATAAAATCACCCGCACAGATCTGCTCACTTTCTTTATTCATAAGGTTGCAACAAAAGATTTTATCACAGTTACATTTGGCAGCTGTGTTTCTGGCTTCTTGTCAAAGCGAGACACCCTATTTAACCATGGTGTCAATGCTCTAACTTACGCACACACACAAACGCTTATTAACACTTCCCAGCAGCATACCCCACTGACAGAGATGGATCAGCGTTTCCTCTGAGGAAGAGCTTACTCCGCCTCTACATGTTCAGTTGCCTCTGCTCTACTTTTCTCAGTTACATACAAAGCACACTCCCATCCCAGCTGACACTGTTGAAAATATGTTATTTATTTTTGTTGTCTGTGCTTGTGTGTTCTCTGAGCTCTATAGGATCTTTGTTAAATAGTTTTTGTGTTCTTGTTTTTATGAATTCTTGCATTGAAGTTATTCAAAATAAGAAGCATCAGCAAAATAACTTAGTACTTATTTAACTGTTCCCTGTCATAGCGCTGGAAAATGTATCCAAGTCAGTTCGACTGTGGAAGACAGCTGTTGAACTGGAGGAACCAGAGGATGCTAGGATCATGCTCAGCAGAGCTGTGGAGTGTTGCCCTACAAGTGTGGAGGTACTTCACCAACATGAACATTTGGAAATTGGACTGAATGTCTCAGAGTGCAGCACAATATATGAACATATGCAATGAACTTTATAACTAACTCTCTGTCCTCTCTAGCTCTGGCTGGCACTGGCCCGGTTAGAGACGTATGAGAACGCTCGTCGTGTCCTGAACAAAGCTCGAGAGAATATCCCCACTGATCGCCACATCTGGATCACTGCTGCGAAGCTGGAGGAGGCCAATGGGAACACTCAGATGGTCGAAAAGATCATTGACCGAGCCATCACTTCTCTGCGTGCCAATGGTGTGGAGATCAACAGAGAACAGTGGATACAGGTTTGTTTCTGGGGCTTTCTGTTTTCTTTGAAATGACTGAGAAGATAAAGGGAGACCAAATTGCTCGTTATTTTTATTCATAAATGAGTGGCTCCCACTTTGAACTGTGATGTGCTTTAAACCTGCATTCGATCTGAAGGCTAACAGACGGTGATAGCTGAGGACTCAAAAAGTCACAAAAAGTCAAAATGGAAAAAATGGCTTTTTTTAAATTTTCAATATGATTTAATGGGATCAGTCACTCATTTCAGGACATGCTGAAGGGAAAAAAATTGAGTATGTTTCCTTAAAAAAAAAAAGAGAGGATATGCTCATTGGCTAACAACTTGTGATTGACCAGGCAACAGCCAATAAACAAGCCATTTCACAGGCATGCTCATTCGTCTTTGTCACATCCCATTTTTTAACCAAGATGGCAACAGTAAGATCACTACAGCACACAAAAAACACTAGCACAAAAGTGAGTCATGCCTGAATGAGGGAATCACTTTAACCCTTTAAAGCCGGTCAGAGCAGGCACGCTCCGTTTTGCGTAACTTTTTTTAAATCCCGGTGGCACTGCAACCATTTAAGCTAGCGCAATAATTTTTTTTGCATATGAAACCGGAGGAGTTGAACTTACATTTGATGCCATCAGCTTGTCCTAGGTCGCAGTTTCCTTCCACGTATAGCTTTGCAAAAATTGCATAAAAAGCACTTGGAGCAACAAAAACATAATATTCCAGAAAAACGCTTTGCCGATCCGATCAGCTATTTGTAGAGCTGGGCGATAGAACGATAACGATATGTATCACGATATAACTTTTTCTCGATAGAAAAATTAAACTATCGCGATAAACCTTGCCGCTCTTGTCCTCTTAAAAAAAGAAAAAAAGAAAGAACAGCCAATCCAAATTAAGTAGCGCAGAGCCGAACCAATCACAGCCGCAGCGTCACGTCACGTGACTTGTTACGTACAGCACAAGTGCCAAGCCGCACGTGTGTTTGTTTGGGAAGCAGCCAGCCACCGTACCGCCCGGGTAATGGAGGAAATGAGTGTGCCGACTAGAGAAATCAACCGAGCGTGACCGAAGGTTACCGAAGAGAAAACAGATGATGGTTCCAACGCCGGAGAGATTGTCGAACGGAAGAGCCACAGAAGTTCCGTAGTGTGAAGGTATTTCGGCTATTTCAAGTCTGACAAAAAACAGAGTAGCGTGCACTGTAAATTGTGCTGAAAGCAAGTCTGGAAATGCAATAAACTGGTGTATGCGCTACGTCCACACGTACCCGGGTATTTTTGAAAACGCAGATTTTTCTATGCGTTTGCACCTTTCGTCCACACGTAAACGGCGTTTTTGGTCACTGAAAACGAAGATTTTTAAAAACTCCGTTTTTGCATTTACGTGTGGACTAGAAAAACGGAGAAAACGCAGCGTCAAAGGTGTGCGCATTTTTTGACGTCACACTGTGCGCCACGTTATTGTTTCGGTGAAATGAATTTCTACAATACTGTTACTGTTAATTCTACTCTCTGCAGTGTTTAAATGCTTACATATACACACAGTTACTGTCCCTCCACACATACGACTCGGTTCTGCTTCTATGCCCCAGCTTTGTTTACTTTTTCCCACCGAGGCTTCTAGACTTCTGATTGGCCAACATTTCTGCACGGTTAGGAATCTAGCGCCACCTGCTGCTTTGGCATGTTCATAGCAGCGTTTTCCTTCATTTCTGCCTTTATGTGTGGACGGGATTATTTTTTAAAACGAAAACGGAAAATCTCCGTTTTCAAAAATACCCGTGTACGTGTGGACGTAGCCTCAGTCTCTGACTGGAAGCGCTAATTCGTCATTCGGCTTTTGTCAGACTAAAGTAACTGTTAAAACTAGAGATGGCACGATACCACTTTTTTATGTCCGATACCGATACCGATATCATAAATTTGGATATCTGCCGATACCGATATGAATCCGATATAGTGTTTTTTAATCAACAAAACTGTTTTTTTAAAATATCTTGCTGCATTTTGCAAGTCTGCAAGTTCATACTCAAGTTTAAAACAACAACTACACTAAAGCTATTCTGTTATACCTGTATGCAAAAAAAAAAATTTCATAGTTCAGCAATACTGATCAATCTAATAAACTTAAACCTACACCATCATCCCTATTCTGGTATTTTAAAGAGTACTTAGCGTAAATATTAAGCAACCTAACTAATAGGGTTCCAACTCCCAGCAACAACAAAAATAAATAAATAAAAAATAGGGAACCACCCCTCACGCGCCACCTCATGATGCTTAATCGACGTAATCAACCTTAATTTGATGCAGTGTGAAAAAAAATGCACAGAAATCAATTATTTTTCAAGAAATTTTAAATAGATTCAACATCTTTCTTCAACAAAATTGCAGACTGCACAGATGGTACCTTCCCAAAGTAAAAAGTACTATAGCTTACTAGGGTATATATATTAGACTTAATAGTCACTATATACAGTAATTGACTTCTATTCATTTTGCATCAAATTAAAACTTTGGGTGTCAGATAATTATTTATTAAAAGCTCGACATTTTAAATGAGAATAAGAAAGAAAAGTATGTCTTAGGGCATGAACAGTGAAAAGGGGGCACAATCGGCCCCCCTGGCTAAACTTTGCTAGATCCGCCCCTGCACAGTTACCAGCCGTCAGCTACGTAGAAAAAGATCCTGGTGTAGAAAGTAATATTAAATAAATTCTAACAACAGCTTATCAAGCTTAAACGTGCTGCTGTTGTTCAGCCGCTGGTTTGCTCTTTCTGGTGCGAAGTGGGCCAAAAACAAAGACGGACTCGCGACAGAAAAGCTGATCAGCTGATCATTTAAGCAGTTTCACGATTGAAGTACCAGCCGGAGAGCGAGAGGCAGTCGCTCGTTAAGCTTAGCGTGGGAATGCTTTACAAACATTCAGAGATGGACTTACACGCTTGCTTTACTTCTCTCGGGGATAACTTTGTCGGAGATGAAATGCTAGCGGAGATGAAATGCCAGGTTGCTAGCGAAGCTCCACATGCTATCCAGACCACCGACAGGTCCCGCATGCCACAGCTGCTCTATCACGTGATGCACACTGCTCCAACTGCTAACGTTCTGCGGTGAGTTACGGCGTGTTGCAAGTTTTGTGAGGTGCTTTCGTGATATTTAATGGATCGGATTACATTTTTTATTTTTCTCCGATATCCGATCCAGTCATTTAGGTCAGTATCGGACCGATACCGATACGTAATATCGGATCGGTCCATCTCTAGTTAAAACTGTTTGAAAAGCTCAGCTATACAACAAGGAGAGATTGAGAATTTCCTTTTAGTTCTCAGTTTATTTGATATTGACAAAAGTTAGTCAGTTTTGTCTGTTCTTCTGTAAAACAAACTAAGATTTATTTTTAGAATTAATATTTTGTTTCTAAGTGGAATTGACAATTTAGTCTGTTTCGTTTGTTCTATTTTGAAACTTAAACGCTTTAGCGGCTGCCTTTTGTGTAGTTTGCAATATTTGCCTTTATTTATCTGAAAAAGTCTCATGTTCCTTAAGTACATCTACCCTGTTGAACTTATTATGGGAAATAAATATTTAAATAAAAACAAGCTGCTGATTATTTCACATTTTACTTGTGAGCAACGGCACATTTAAATCTTACAAATATAGTTATTTGGCTTATATCGTGATAGATATCGTTATCGCCTGAAATGAAAAAAACATATCGTGATATGAAAAAATCTCATATCGCCCAGCTCTAGCTATTTGTAACACTTCCTATATCCAACAGCGCGAACTATCGCATGTCCGCCATGTCCTGCCCGAAACCGGAAGTGACGTCATTTTGCGGAAATGTAGTTTTTTACCATCAGGGCCTTATGAGCCTATACTGGTGTTTTTAAAAGTTATGTTTGACTTTATGACTTTCTGTGTCGTTTCTGGGATGCTTAGGACTCGTATTGCACTGCTGGAAATAGTTTATTTTGATGCATATGCTGTTTTGTTTTTTTTTTGCAAATTTGCATTATAATATTTATTTTCATTTTTCCTGCAGTGTATAAAAATTGGTGTATTTCAAAAATAAAACTATGAAGACACTTAAAATAAATTTCCTGTGGTGGGAAACTATTTTGTGCAACTTTTTTGTATTTGCAGTTTTGAGGGGTAAGCCTCTTAAATTTCTCTAACTACAAATATATCTTAAAAAAACAAAAACGATTTTAAATTTTTTTGTAGTTTATTGCACTTTTTTTGCAATTTATGTAATTACTATGCACTTAATGCAGACATATTATTTAAATTTGAGCTATAATGGTTGTATTGATGTATATCAACTTGAAATGCTCCCAAAAATGGCACTACAGCATGTAAAAATATAATATAAGCTCTGGTGGACTTGGTTCTATGGTAGGTCTTAAAGGGTTAACTAAGTGAGGAAGCCAATAATGTGACGTATCCTGTTTCTGAAAAGGCCCAAATATTCACGCTGAACAGCCTGCTGCACTTAAACTTAAAGCGAGGATCTGTTTTGGGAGATTTCATACAAACTTGCTATTGCGAATTGTTCATTGGTTGTTGTTGGACTTACTCTTTTAGAGACTTTGCTGTGGAGTTAAGTTTGCAAGTCTGCAAAAGCAAATTAAAACCTTGCAAAGACAAACTACTGATTTATTTTACATTTACATGACTAGAGTCCTCTAAAGGCTCCAGAGAATTGCCTGTTTACACATTACCTGTCTCACTGTTGTGAAGAGAAAACGGCTTTTAGCCAGAATATGCGGAACACTTATCCAAACAACTTTGAAGTCAACCCTACTCTTCCTTGGCTCCCCAGCAATCCACTTGCCAAGTGTGGGACATGTTAAATGAATGGTTTGTGAGAACAGCAAACAACTCACACAAGATCCTCAAAGAGATGCCAGTAATGTTTCATCTGGATGCAAAACAACACAGCACTGTGTCTAATGTTTTCTTTAGTGCAGTACACAGCTGTTTTGCAGTAATTGGCTTTAACTGAAATTCCTCTTTTGCATAGTTGTTTTATTTGTTTCTTTTTAATTTTTTTTTGCCAGTGGTATTTTTTTCTTGTCACCGCAAATATTTGCTTATTAATGTCTGTCAGCTTTAATATTATTATTATTTTATAAATCTGCAGGTGTTCTGATGTCAGTTTTAAAATTTCTTTCTAATTATTATTAGAATTATTTTTGTGTTAATCACTTTATCATTTCATTTGAATGGCTTACCTAGAATTGATACCAGCAGTTCATCCAGTAATTTTTGCACCCTTCTTCTTCTTCTACCAAAGTGTCTATCCTTCTAAATGCTTGTTCATACCCTGCAGGACGCAGAGGAGTGTGACAAAGCAAGTAGTGTGGCTACCTGCCAGGCTGTGATAAGGGCTGTCATAGGGATTGGAATTGAGGAGGAGGACCGCAAACACACCTGGATGGAAGATGCCGAGAGTGTAAGTATAGAGAGATTAGTTTGGGTTTTTTAAAATAAGTTTTTTACATACTTGCTGTTGTAGTTAAATTTAACAATGGTTTAACAATGGTTGTGTGTTTGTGACTCAGTGTGTGGCCCATGGGGCGCTGGAGTGTGCCAGGGCCATCTATGCCCATGCTCTCCAAGTATTCCCAAGTAAAAAAAGTGTCTGGCTTAGAGCTGCCTACTTTGAGAAGAACCATGGCACCAGGTGACAATCTTTAATTTCCAAATGCAAACATTAGCAGTCAGAAGGTGACAGTTGCTGTTTCGCATCACTATACTTATTTATTCTTTTTTGCTCCTGTGCTTTATGACCTGCTGCTTCGTCGTCGCCGCCGCATCCATTATTCTTTCATGGCACATTTAATTTCTCAGAGAGTCCTTGGAGGCTTTACTTCAGAGGGCTGTGGCTCACTGCCCCAAAGCAGAGGTATTGTGGCTAATGGGTGCCAAGTCCAAGTGGCTTGCTGAGGATGTGCCAGCAGCCAGAAGCATCCTTGCTCTGGCCTTCCAGGTAATTAAAAAGCATTCACTTCTCGATACAGCATGTCAAATATTAGAGTAATCTATGTATACCTATGTCTAACTCTGTTATCCTGTGTCTTCTGCTTCTCCTCTCCCTCTGTCCTCCTCTGTCTGTTTTCATAGGCTAACCCAAACAGTGAAGAGATCTGGCTTGCTGCTGTCAAACTGGAGTCGGAGAATAATGAGTATGAAAGAGCCCGTCGACTGCTAGCCAAGGCCCGCAGCAGTGCACCAACAGCCAGGGTAAGTGTATCTGTGTGAATTTCAGAGTAGGGAACTATTGTAAAGGTTACTTCGTAGAAAGGATAAAAGTTAATACTTGGTTTTCTGTTTGAGCTTTTAATACTTGGTTGAATTATAGAATTGCCTAAAAAGCTATTAAAGGAAACTGAATATTTTTATAAGAAGATTAATGAAATCAAGTTGTTCAGGTTATCTCATGTCACTTGCACTGAGTATGACTGCGTTTGCATTGAATCAATCCTGTCCTTTCACTTTGACTGGCCTTTTATGAACTGTACTACATTGTGTTTTTCATGTAGTGTTATTAATTTTTGAACTCTGACACATTTTGGATGAGTGATTCAAGTGTTAGTTTATTTTTCTGTTTTGAAACCACTGCTCTCTACATAATGGTGCAATTTCCTTGAGGTTGTTTCTGGGAACACTGTCAGGTTCAGGCTTGCAGGTTTTCCACAGATTATGCCGTTCACTACCACATAGGCTGACAGATGTGTCAGCCAAGCTTTTAAACCACCACTCTGTCTGTCAAGTGACCTGGCAACACTCCCCTTTATCTTTGTTGTATGCTGACAGATGTGAGTAAGAGAATCTGCCTTAATGTTTGCTGTACTGCTTGTCCTATCAGATAACACAAAGTTTTAGTGTTAACCACTTAAGCATTTAGGCAAAAACTTAGCAAGTTGGCATTTGATAAAACTGATATATAGACTTGCAAGTACTGGGGTTCAGTATAAGCATTTTCCTTGTTTTACATTATTCTGTTTCAGGTGTATTACAATGCATTTGCAAATATAAAACTTCATAGGTCTCATTTGTATTTGTAATCTCTACAGGTGTTTATGAAGTCAGTGAAATTGGAGTGGGTGTTGGGAAACATAGAAGCTGCCCAGGAGTTGTGCACCGAGGCCCTGAAGCACTACGAGGACTTCCCTAAGCTTTGGATGATGCGAGGCCAAATCGAGGAGCAATGTGAAAATATGGATAAAGCTAGAGAGGCCTATAACCAAGGGGTGAGGATGGGGTTATGTTTGGGGCGTGGGTTTGTTTTAGTATTGGATTGACCACAAATGCAAAGGAAGGAAGTGTTTTATTTTTTGATGAAAATGAGTGTATCATTAAAAACCAGAGTAAGGGGTTAAGGATTTTTATTTTCATTGGTACAGTTAAAGAAGTGTCCCCACTCTGTGCCACTGTGGTTGTTGCTGTCACATTTGGAAGAGAGAGTGGGACAGCTGACCAGAGCCAGAGCAATCCTCGAGAAGGCGCGGCTCAAGAATCCCCAGACCGCTGAGCTGTGGTAAGAAAATACACGACAACAAGGAACTAGGAAGAGTTTTAGTTTGGAAAAGGTCACCTGCGCAGCAGTGTATTTTAGCATATGCATGTTTTTTTTCTCTCCTATCCATGAAAACCTGTAAAAAGTTACAGCTGGAAAACATTATATTTGTGCCTCCAAACTAGAAGCAGGCTTAATTTGCTTTTGCAAAACCACATCAACCGAAACTGGCACATCAAGAACATATATAACACCAACACCATTTATTGTCATAAATTCTGAAATAAAGGCATCTAAAAGTACATATGATCTTATTAATCAGGCTGGAGTCAGTCAGATTGGAGTACAGGGCTGGACTGAAGAACATTGCCAACACGCTGATGGCCAAAGCCCTGCAGGAGTGCCCAAATTCAGGTGTGTATAAAATGCTGCTATAGATGGAAAAGCTTTGTTTTTCTGAACCTGTATTAGTGCAAAAAACCCAACATCAATGTATTTTCAGTTAAACAAGCAGCTGTTTTTTATGTGGATTAAAGTTATATAAAAATTTGACAGTTTAACCAAAAGGCATTTCCAGTGGAAATTGGCCGACATATCCTCAGCATAACCATGTATAATATCCACAAAACTTAAAAGAGGTTAAACACACACAATACAGTAATATTATGTTGAAGCACAGTACGTATCACTCCGCGAGGCTCCTGCCTACGATAGCCATAATACTCAGACAATCCATCAAGCGGTGCAGGTTTGTAGCTTAGCAAACTCATGCTAAAACATTTGACAGATTTTCGAGCGCTGTGTACCACATAAAATCGTTTTGAAGTAGGCTGTACCAGATTGGAGTCTTTGGCGGGCCGAATCTGGCCCCTGGGTATTTAGTTTGTGATCCCTGCTTTAGATGGTTTGTTTTCCTCTGTGCCCTTCACGTTTATGCAGGCTTAACTTTCGTTCATTGCACTGGCACTATTGGACTTTAATGCACAAATTTCAATCTCCTTTTATTTTCTTCCTTCAAAGGTATCCTGTGGGCTGAGGCAGTGTTTTTGGAGGCCAGGCCCCAGAGGAAGACAAAGAGTGTGGATGCTTTGAAGAAGTGTGAACATGATCCACACGTCTTGCTCGCTGTAGCCAAGTATGACTTGAACTTTTCACTCCCTTTAGTAATAGCTATTACTTTTTGTGATAACCTACAATATAAAAATGTGTATTTTGTTGGTGTTTTACATTCAGCAGACCTTTCTGTATGAAACTCTTAACATTTTGAGATGTTCTGCATATGTCAGGTTGTTCTGGAGTGAGCGTAAGATCACCAAGTCTAGAGAGTGGTTCCTCAGGACCGTAAAGATTGAGCCAGATCTGGGGGATGCTTGGGCTTTCTTCTACAAGTTTGAGCTGCAGCATGGCACAGAGGTAAGGATCTGGTGTCTAGACTTGTGCTATTTTGTTCATGCATTAATAAGTTGATTAAATCATTTGAAGTTTGATTCAAACCTGCTGCCTGGCTGGGGGCTTTCTGTGTGGAGTTTTCTAGTTCTTCATGTAGCTGTGTGAGTTTTCCTCAGTATTGATTGCATTGGTGCAGTTTTACTCCAGGCATTGGTTGTGAATCAATTGTTTGTTATTACTTAGTGTTATTGTATGAAGTGGATATGTCAGCTGCTATAAACTTAAAATTTTCAGATTTATGTTTAGTCGTTAAAATGTGCAGTAAAACATGTGAAATCATACATGATAAACATGTAATTAGTTTTTCCAGCTGCATGATTTATGGTATACATTCTTGCTTTTTTTTTCTTTCTTCACAAAGTTGGTAGTCACTTGTTTGTGTGGCCAGTCCATGTGTTGTGCTGTGATTGTATAACATTACTGCTCTGTATGCTTCAGGAGCAGCAGGAAGAGGTGCGAAAACGCTGTGAGAATGCAGAGCCCCGTCATGGAGAGCTGTGGTGTGCCGAGTCCAAACATGTACTAAACTGGCAGAAGAAGACAGGAGAGATCTTAGCACAGGTAGCCAGCAAGATCAAGAACACATTCTGAGAGTGGGGAAATTTGGACTGAAAACACCTGGAGGACTCTGGCAGTCACCAGTATAGAAGTGAGCAGCTATTGACATGCTTATTCTGTACCAGGACTTGCCCATCTCTGGCAGATTTAAAGTATTTACACACGCCCTTACATTTTTTTGTTGTTGTATGTGTCAGGAGAAAGTAATGATTTGACGTCAAAGTGACGGAATCTGTGGATGTTTTTTAAAAAAAATAAAAAAAATCAAAGTGACTGATGGTTACCCTCTTCATCCTGATATGCAGTAAGGAGATCTTTGGCTGCGATGTGAGATTTTTGTGGATACGTTTTTGATCTATCTGTGTGTATGGGGTTTCAAGGTGTGGCCTCAGCTATTGTTGTGATTTGGCTTCTTTGTTAAAATCCTTGTCTTATACTCTCCTAAAAGTGCTAGAAGAGTACCCTTAGGTGTCCTCTCGGATTTCACAGCATTTTTCTGTTATTATTTAAACCTCCTGAGTCATGCTCTGCTTGATGTTGACGATCAGAGGTGGTGTGTTTTGTTTTGTTAAAACGTTGAATTTTGTTTTGCTTCAGGTCCCACACGCCTTCTGGCAAATAATACATTGTTTTCCCTTTGCAACTCTGCTGTGAAGATGCAACCGATGAATCATCTAGTAAGCAGCTGTCGCATGTGTATTGAATAATTAAAGAGAAAAACACCCATTCTAGTGATTCATTCATTCATTTTTAAATCCACCTTTTTAGAATATTACTGAGTATAAAAGGTTACTTTCAGGTTTATTAAATAAATCATTATGTCATAGTAAATCTGCCGTTCTCTTCTCTTTGGTTTAGAGTCATGCAGAGTGTCTCCCATCTTTTTTATCCAATAATCCCTGCTGTTATTTTATAGTTCTGCCGTGTTGGATCATTCAGCATCATCTAAATTTTAATATACATTACCACAGAATTCTTCCAAAGGTCTGCCTAGTTCAGCTAACAACCTGACTAACTTTACCGATATCGATCAAATATCACAGTTTGCACTCCCATTGGTCAGTGTTGGTATTCTGCTTGTTTGGCAGAAGAAGGGCAACAAAAGATAAACAGGGCAGGCTATAATAGCTTTGTGGAGTTGGAGTTGGGTAACATTCAGCTCTGTGTACAAGTAGGAAGATGGCAGTTTTTTGTTACTGAAAATGTAACAAAAGCTACAGTTATATAATCAATATGGACTTAAAGGACAGACTTATAAGCTTTAATTCAAGGGGTGTCCAATACCACTGATGAGTTAGAGCTGGTCCAGTGTTTTTACAGTGTTCTGTTTTTATTTATTATTTTGTTTTGTGAGCTGCTTCTATTTTTTTTTCTTCACAAGTTAATGCGGTAAAAGGTTGTGAGATGTTTCCAAGTGACGTGTTTGGAAAGCAGCTGTGAACCACAACGTGCCATCAAAAGAGCTCTTAAGTATAAGTGTAACAGACCAAATATCAGCTGCAAAACAAGAAAAAACAGCTCCTTCAGCGTGATAGCGAGTGCATTAGAGAGGCCAAATCATTTAGACAGGAAAAAAAACAAACCAAGGCACTTTGCAACAAAACAAAGTCCACATTTCCATGGATGACAACACCGGTGGATGATCCTGGGATCCTTTCCATTGTAAATGGAGCCTGACTGATATTTAGGACGATACTGATATTTGGTTATTTTAAAAATATGATATTGCGATATATTTGTCGATATCTTTTTCTTTTTTTTTTAAAAGAAGACATAAAATAAACATAAACATTTGTTACGTGTACTTTTTTTTTTTATCCCCTACCTGAAGCTGCACGGATCAGCTGCTTGTTGCGTTTGGTGGGTTGCGAATAGGGAAGTTGCAGAGTGCCCTCTGGTGGACAACTTATGCAATATCAACACCCACAACGTGGTTGAAGGGCGTTTCTCTCTTCTATGTCATTTATGAGCTGTTACAAATGCAGATACCAATAGACTGGCATACAACTAAGTCAGTCGGGCTCTAATTATAAGGATACAGAGGGTTAACGACAAGGTTCAAACCATACCTGAAAGTAAAAGGAAAGATTAGACTTTGCCAGAGCAGTTTGGAAACACCATTCTTTAAACAAATAAAACTGACATCAACCTTTACCGGAATGATGGGACAAGAAAAAATTGGCACAGCCATCCATTGGCTCATAACTCAAGCATACAGCATCTAATAAAAAAAATGGACTGGAGACAGTATGATGCACAGACACACATGCTTTCCAGTTTCACTAATCACTAGTGTTGTGATGACACAAGACAGAAAGAGTCATGAAAAACTTAAATGTTGGGCTAAACACCAAAAAGTAGGAAACTCATTCCACATTAATTTATTAAATTACATTCTAGCTGCTGAAAATAAGTGACTGTGAAAGATGGTTGTGATTTTTCAACAGTTCATGCAATATTTTTGTTTAACTCAAAGCTGAGAGTCTGTACTTAACGTCCATATTCACTCTGTAATAGGGGTGGGTTTTAATAATCGATTTATCGATTAAAATCGATTCTGGCTTGGATAACGTGATATCGATTCATTAAAATCCTGAATCGATTTTTTTATATAAATGTATTTTGCCCAAAATTCCAGAATCTCAGGTGAAACGTCACAAAATTTTGACAACCACCAAACATTTAAAACAGTAAATGAGAGCAGGTACACGGCTTCTGCACAAAGACGTAAACACAAAGCGCGGACCCGCAGATCAGAATCAGTGAGATGTCGCCTTTCTCACCCGACGGCACGGACACGGTCGGGGCTGAAAGCCGACAGCTCGCTGATTCTGATGTTTCGGCGGGTCCGCGCTTTGTGTTTACGCCCTTTTTGCGCTGATTCTAAAGCTGTTAGTTTTATCTCTCTCCAAACAATATTGACCGAACCAGCAGCAAAAGAAGATCCAAACTAACGCTTCACATAAACATCGTCATGGACTCCCTCTGACTTTTGCTGTTTTGCTTCCACCACAATAAAATCACACTTCATGCACAGCTCTCTCTCTCTCTTTCTCAGTGTACTTCAAGAACAGTTTCCCGTCTATCCCCGAAATCTGTTTTCTGCATTATTCGCTTGCTTGTTACGCACAAGTCTAGTGTTTACAGCGCTGTCGGCCGATGTTTTTTTTTCCTTTTACTTACTTCCGAAAAGAAAACCTAATTTCTGCCGTTCAATAGGCTTCTGAACAAATTTAAACTTTTTAAAATTATGCAAAATGCAAAACGCTTAGCCGTGTCTCTAATAAAACCGCTGTAACTTCAGAGGTAATGTTCATATGTTGATTAATGGTTTTCTTTCGTTTTTGATGTACTGCAGAATATTTTTATAAAATCCCAGGCCAGGAAAATCACCTTCATGTTTTTCTGTGTTTTATCTTCAGCTACTTTGACACAAAGGCATCTGCTGTGATGCTCACACCTTTGATAAAGTCTGGAAAGTGTCAGCTTCCTTTTTATAGATACAAAAATATGTAAATGTACTGATCTGAATTATAACATTTCTGACTGTCTGAGGCAAAATTTCCCAGATTCGAATCGAATCGAATTGAATTGAATCGAATCGTGGATCGAATCGATTCAGGACCCTGTGAATCGGAATCGAATCGAATCTATTCTAGAAATCAGTGACGATACCCAGCCCTACTCTGTAACACTTGAATTTGTTTTTGTGAAATCTTTAAATGAGAAAATGTGTTCTCTGGTGTGTTGACAAGCACTTATTTTGCTTTCACGATGCTTGATCTGTTCATCATTCTTTAGCTGCCTGTGACCAGCCATTTCAAGTCGTCTCACAGCAAACCAGCACACTGTCAGCTGGATTTGGCACACATGAGAATTCTGTTAACGAATTATATTTATAGCTCACATTGAAGGTGGTAAAAATGTAATATTAAATCAAAAATTATGCTTTATTGTTTTGATTTATTGTTCTGAGTTCAGTCTATGTGGTTGTTACAATTGTGAAATAAATGCATATTTCAGGCATTTTACACAAGAACTATCTAAAAAGGGCAGTTTCACATTTACAGAATGTTTGAACTGAACACATTAAGGTGTTTTTATCTGTAGCTGTGTTTGTTAAACACTTTACATTTTTATGGAATTATATGTTTTGTGTCTTCTCCAGATTTGGCTATATCTGTTTAGAAACACATGACAGTGTATATAAACTCTTTCTCAAGGATTATATCATGTAGCCATGATTTTTGTCCTTTCTACATATCTTTTCTGAAATGTGTTTAAAAATACTTTGCAGGCATCCAATAAACAGACAATAAAGTTTATTGCAGAATTCACTGTTTCTCCCAAACAAGTTGGTTTCTAAGACTTTTTTTTCTTGTGCTGTAAGTTAAATGTCAACTCAAACTCTGACTGCACTCTTTGTTTGTGAGATGTGATTTCCCACACTTTCACTCCAAGAGTGACATTCATCCTCCCGAGCAGTTCCCATGCAGGGTCATAGTTTTGACTGCTCTCTCTGGTATTTCATTCCATTTTTTATGTTGTAGGCTGCCTTTTCTGTTTTTTCTTTTGCTATCACAACAAGCTTTTAAAAAGTTTAAATCGGCGCTTTGGATAAATGCCGCGTCGTGTCTTTCCAACGAAACCGAAAGGATGGAGGCAAATGATTGATTGCAGAAGTTGTCCTTGACTTGATCGGACTGGAGTTTGGTGAAATCCTAAGCCCGGCGTCAGCAATCCATGACGGGGAAGGAAATAGGAGCAGTCAGTTTGGTAATGTTGGAAGCCACGGAGCGCCACATCGGAAGTCTACCCGTCTCCGTATTAACGTCTCTGCCACAGGTAGTGCAAAAGTACTGAAGGGGAGCCAAAGAAAAAAAAGTGAAAGTTTGGAGCTCACCATGAGCGAAGACGGTCACGACTAGAGATGGGTTTGCTCGTCTGAAGATCCTGCAGAAAAACATGATAAATGGTAAGCGCAGTTTGAACATCTGGTGCGTACTTACGCAGTAAATGAGCTGCTGCTGATGAAGCGTGCACACCGACGTATATTAATGTGGTTATTTCGACTTTGGTCGAGATGTCAGGTGGCGCAGACAGCTGGAAACTGACAGATGCTTTTAACGCACTGTGCGCCTCAGCGGGAGCCAAATTGAGCGATGATTCGTGGCCTGTTTTCCTTGGTTGCGTGTGAAGAGTTGTAACACTGCTCTCTTTTCATAGTGTCTGACTGGAACTCTGCTCCGTAGTGTCCTGGTGGCTGTCTTGTTGGCCTACTCCTGTGGGAAAAGTAGATGTAACTATAAAGAAATACTGGGCTCCTACAGAGAAGTCATCTCCGTTGAACTACAGAATCTGGTATGATTGCAAAGTTTATTATAAGACTGTGGGATTAATTAACTGTGGTAGATATTTAAAAATGATTGTGTTTTAAGTATTGTATTGGCAGACATCCCCACTAACTAAACTACCATTAAATGCAAGTTCACTGCAATCAGTTACAGCTGTGATAAAGCTTGTGAGTTAATAACATGTGCTAGGCTGCCCTCCAGTGTTTGCTCTTCAAGTAAAGCTCTTTCTCCCCTCTCTCTTTTGCATCACAAGCCAAATAAATGTCTTAAATAACTCAACACTGGGCTTTTTCTTTTGCAGAATCTGACTGTTTCAGCGAATAAATTTAAAGAGAGAGACCCTTGTCCCTCAGGAAAGGTAAGTGGCACTACATTATATGCACTTTCAGCACCATGGACAGGGTAAAAATGACAACCTGCGTGGCACATGCTGTACATTTACGTTTGGGTAAATACAGAAGAAGTTTTCAACCTTTGACTGACATGCTAGATGGACTATTCCACCTTTTTAATTTTCTACACGTTTGGGCTGTTATCTCATGGCAGGCACGTCGCATCCTGGTTTCCATCTATGGTATGACACAGCAGATGCGGTGTCAGGGGAGTGGCAAAAATCAATCTGACCTGGAGAAGCCAGTTGAGAGCATGGAGCAGCTAATTGTGCAAAACTGCCGTCCCCAGTATTTGGTAAGATGACTTTAATGTGTTCTTCTGAGCCCCCAGCACCACCGCACAGTGAGAAAACAAGCCAAACCACTCTTGTGCTATTTTCTTTTTCCATTTTTTTCAGGGAAATAAAACCTCTTGTTCAGCTGTCCAGAAAATACGAGGAAAGAAGAGAAAAAGGATGAGGTTAATCCGAGTTATCAAGGCACTGATCACTTGCTGGCAAAAACTTCAAAGTGTCTCTGTGCTTTAAAAGTAGGAAATGTATCTCCCTGGCTCCTATAGGCCTGTGCTACTTTCTCATGAAGACATAAGGTGAATTTACACAGTGTTCCTTGCTACAGATAGCGAATATTACATGTGACCAATCAGTGACTGTGTTTAGACAGCTATTTTTCAAAAGCAAAGTCATGAATGTTTACTGTTGTCAAGTTCTCAGTGTCTTGTGTATTAAAAGCTACACCAGCATCTGCATGTCAGCATTGCTACATTTTATGGAATAGCTTTACATAGTAAGCAAAGATAAGCTAAAGATCGACGCGTTCAGATACTTTTAGGCCATTTTAAAAGTTTCTCCTGTTGTACAAACTCTTATGTTTTGTGTTTGCAAACCACATGTCATCATACCCAAAAATGTTCGTATGTCGGTTATATAGTTGAGTATATGCCACATAATAAAATTTGTACATGTTTGATTTATACTATTCTGAAGTGAGCCTATGCAGTTATTGTAATAATGATATTAATTAATTAATTATTATTATTAGGGGTGCTATAGGTGTATCAGCTACAATAGACTTTTGTTGCAAGATATTATATAACCATCCTTTTTTTCATTATTTTGATTAAGGAATGAATGTTAGTGTTACAAAATGTCATTCAATAAATATTGCACAATGTCTTTATTGTAAAGAATGGAAACATATAGAAGCTTGTTTCTGTCAATCAAGATTTTTTTTTATTTTAATTTAATTTTTTTTTGTTAGTCAAAATTTTCAGGTGATGTCTTGAAATTTTCTACTCATGACAAATCACTCAATTTTAAAACATTTAGTCAGTAACTTGATGTTTTGTGAAAAAAGTTCTAACTTAGCTTCTAACTACTTTTTTTTCCTGAGTGACGGAAAAAAGCTTCCATAAAGAGGTCACAAGAAAAAGCTAAATGTGAATAAAGCAGATATTAATACATGCTGGCTAAATCATTATATTTTAAATAAAGTCTAGCAAAAAAAACCAACCAATCTGCTATTTATTTATTAGTGATCTGCTCTTAGCCACTTTGTAGTTTGCAGTTGTGATGGACAAGCTGATAGATGAGGTCAGGCAGGAGTCTCTGTGTACTGTGATGTTTGTAAAAGACATTGTGATCTGTAGTGAGAGTAGTGAGAAGGGGGATGAGAGCCTGGAGAGGTGGAGGTGTGCACTGAAGAGGAATGAAAGTCAGAAGAAACAAGACATGTGTGTGACTCAGAGGGGGTAAAGGTGAGGATGCAAGGAGCAGAGGTAATGAAGGCAGACAAAATATAGGAGGTGGAGGTGGCAGAGTTGAAAATGTTACGATTTTCATTTGTGGTGACAAGGATGGACAAGATTAGAAATGAGTCTACTGGAGGGCCAGCTTACGTTGAGTGGATTGGAGACAAAGTTAGAAAGACAAGGCTGAGATGGACATGCGCGGATACAAGAATGAAGAGGAAGAAAAGAGCAAGACCACAGAGATTCGTGGATGTAGCGAAGGGGAGCATGCCAAGGTTTGGTGAGACAGAGGACGATGCATAGGGTGAGATCTCTGGCGACACCTACAGGCAGCAAGCAAAAGACGAAGTGCAAATATAGATAATATACAATAACTATACACATACACAAATCATATAATACATCTATATAATTATTCTATTATACATAAACGATTTATAACATTTTACATTTATTAATTAATGTATTTAAATTAAAAGTAGACGGACACAAATGTGTTTCATGGTACTGTTTCCGTCCGGAGCAAGAAATTTGTGGCACAACTTCCACCATACGAACGACTCGAAACGTCAACAGCTGGATGTATGAAGTGTGGCTGTGAGAAAGGCTATTACACCGAAGTTACTAACACAGTGTAGCTTTAACATTTTTTGCCATGTTTTCAGTCATCGAGAATCGCATCAATTGAAAGTATTATCGTCAAAGCAGCAGCGGCTCTCTGACCTTTTGAGGAAATCCGTTTGAGTGATCTGCATTTAACAGGTGAGAGCAGAGTTTAGTTAGTTAATTCGTTAGTAGATTCACGTTAAGTACCCCTTAAAAGACATGGCCAGCAGCAGCAGTGGTAGTGTGGACATGGATCCAGATGTTGCCCTGAGGCTTTTCGAGGAGGGAGCTACCCTCGTGCTGCTGGGTGTTCCTCAGGGTACAGAGCTCGGAATCGACTGCAAGAGTTGGCAAGTGGGTCCTCGTTTCCGGGGTGTTAAAATGATCCCCCCTGGTCTGCACTTCCTCCACTACTGCTCGTCAGGCTATGGAGGACAAATTGGCCCGAAGACAGGCCTCTTCCTCTCTCTCAAACCCAGAGAGATCATACTGGCCAACTGGGACGCCAAGGAAGAAGATCTGGACTTCTCAGCCTCCAAGAATGAAGAGGAGTTGAGTCGGATTCGTGCCAGCTTGCGCGAGCTGGATCCTTACCTGGGCCCCTATCCCTATGAGGTGATGAGGAAGTGGGTGTCCCTCACTGACCGTATCAGTGAGGAAATGGCCAAAAACTTGCAGCCTCTCTCAGGTCGAGTATGTGCATTCAGTGACGTGATTCCCGAGCTTCAGTTCACACACACCAAAGACAGGGCGGAGCAGCCGAGGAATGACACGGCCTGTCAGAGCATGAAAGAGGGGCTTGACAGGCTCCCCAAGATGAAACAAAGGGAGGGTACGGAGTTGCGCTTCTCTGTCATCCCTAAGAAGACCTACCCTCCCGGGGCTACGCCGGCTGAGATCACCAAGTGCAGCATGGACCTGAGCTACGCTCTGGAGACGGTGCTGGAGAAGAACCACATGCAGGAGGCTCTTAACGTGCTAGGTATGTATCACATTTGTTAAAAATGGGTTACTCTTGATTCATTATGCAAGAAAAAGTACTGACATTTAGCCCCTCTCTCAGGTGAGCTGCAGTTTGCCTTTGTGTGTTTTCTCTTTGGAAATGTGTACGAGGGCTTCGAGCACTGGAAGTGCCTCCTCGCTCTGCTGTGCCGCTCAGAGGAGTCCATTCTGAAGCGCAAGGACCTCTACCTGGGGCTCATCGCCGTGCTCTACCACCAGCTTGGAGAAATACCTCCTGATTTTTTTGTTGACATTGTATCTCAAAACAACTTCCTTACCTCCACGCTGCAGGTACATGCACAAATCAGACTATAGTGTTTGTCACTTGATGCTCCTTTATATCTAACTAAATAATATATATTCATCTCACTGGTGCAAAATTGATTTTAGATGTGAACTAAGATGTTGTGATATTAAAAAGTTAAAAAAATGTGTTCTTGCAAACTAATCTTAAGTAATTTAGGGTCCATTAACCAGTATCACACTTTTCAACCAACAAGCCAGAAGATCAGCCTTTTACTTGCTCCTTGTGTGACTTTATTTGCCTACAAAAATGACAGTTTAATTTCAAGATTATACTATAGGAACATATCATTATTTATTAGTAGATTCAAGCTGTATTCAGACTACATTGTGATCTCTGGACAGAATTAGAATTGAGTACATCAGAGGGACAGCTCAGGTTTGAGAGGTTGGAGAGGGAAGGCTGAGATGGTTTGGACATATGCAGAGGAGGGATAGTGGCCAGATTGTACAAAAGAAGCTGAATATGGAGATTCATGGATGTAGTGAAGGAAGATATGCAGAGAGTTTGTGTGACAGAGGAGGATGCTAGGGATAGGCAGAGATGGAGGCAGATTATCCACTGTGGTGACCCCTAAATGACGCAGCTAAAAGAAGAAGATTATTAGGAAAAAAGCTGTAAATAAAGGTTTAAAATAAATGTAGTGGAATAAATAAACAAATGGAAGTCAAAGCAGCTAAAAACAGTCGATCATTTCGGTCAGCTCTGTTCAGGGGTAAATCGGTCAGTGGAAACACCGTCACTGGTCCAAATGGGTCAGCAGCTGGGCTATCAACTTTCCCACTAGAGTTTTCTGCTGGCCTTGGGCCATTGGCCTGTTGGTTATGTTGAACCCTGCATTTGTACTACTTAAACCCCAGCGGGGATTAAACCTGGGCTTGCTCCACACTTTGCATGCTCTTCTGGTTAAATGTAAAAAAATAAATTATAAAGATAATAATTCGTATGCAACGAGAAAGGGATGTTTAAATTGCCAGTGTGTTGAATACCTTTCACAACATTATTTTTACATGGCTGGTATCTGAGGACAGTTTATAATTCGATCCGTACAACATACGTTCATAATCCTGAATGATCTCCACGACACACAGAAATGCTTGCAAACAGAAAATGGACCACAGTATCAAAGCATCACCTGAATTTTTACAGATCACATTTACAGTTACCAGTTTATAAAATTGTTTGATTAATTGTTCTTCACAGGATTTTTTCCAGTTTGCCATTGGGCCTGGTGTAGATGCCAACCTGCGTAAGAGAGCAGAGAAATTCAAAGCCCACCTGACCAAGAAGTTCAGATGGGATTTCGATTCAGACTTGGACGACTGTGAACCTGTTGTGGTGGAGCTGCCTGAAGGTGTGACAGTCGACTGAAACTACTCAATGGACTCTCCTCACCGAGAAAAAGGAACACAGAAGGAGATCCACAAAGTATCTTATGCTACAGTCACACTAGGGAAAACAGTGGGTGGAGACGACGGCACGACCAAACATTTTTGCAACTGACTGATCTCATTGGCTTTCAAATAGTTGCTTTGAAGATGGCGACCAAGTCTGTGATCACTTGCAGACAGCTGCTATCTTTAAAGTGGATTTGGTGATGGTGATAAAATGGCAATACACTGAAATTCACATTATGTACTTACATTCAGAGTCCAGCTAGGACCTGATAGTTTTGAAGCATAATTTCAGACATTTCTACACGAATGGTGACACAGCTGCTGCAGGACGATGATTCAGCTGCAGAGTCACATAAGCATTCGGCAGCCTCACATTTAAATTAGCAGCTGGCAAACAGTTGCAGAGAGATGCAGTGAAGTCTGGTTCAGCAGAGACTGACTCAGAAGGATTGTGTTGTGTTGAATCTGTTTGTGTTTATAAATTAGACAGCATACTTTCTCCAGTCTGTCTGAGAGTGATTGCAGACAGAACCTATTCAGTCATTCAGAGGCTGAGCGTGTTGTTGGTCACTGCGACTGCTTCCAGCTGTTTGCTACCATCATTGTCTTTCTCCTAGTTACAAGGAATCCTCATAATGTTAGTTTGTGTTGCTCTATTAGTTCTTTTGCAGAGTGCATTGAAATGATCGTGTGTGAGCTGCACTACACCTGTGGGAAAAAGCATACTCACAAGATTTACCAGGTTTTCTGAAAGGGTTGGAACTCATAAAGTAATGATTTTCTTGTTTAAGTACTGCTTTGTTAAATTTTGTTTTATTATATTTCTTTACTGTAATCAATTTAATAAAAACAGCACTTCTGAAACAAAATATCCACCTGTGTCTGGTGGTTTCTGTCACTGTTGTTATCATTAATGAAGCTTTCAATACTTGCTGCCATGTCTTTTCTCTTTCTCCTCCACTAGATGGCGCACATAGGCTTATTTACAGCTTTAAAGCTGCTCTATAACACCATATTTGCAGATTGTCAGTTCCACAATCGATAAAAGCTGCTGTTTTTGGTGGGAAGGACTTGTAAGAAGAATTTCATACAATTTAGTAGCTTTGATAAGTTTTTTTCTCTTAAAGAAGAGCAAAGAGAAGATAAAAGGTGCTGCTATCATCATGACATGGATGACTGGGATAAGAGCTTTTTTTGTTAATCGACCCTTTCTTCTTCCACCATCACTCTTAACACTTATCTTCAAATATCTATATAAGATTATCTAGAGCGGTGTGGAAAAACACCAAAGGAGGAATGTAATTGTACACATATGCAGTTACAACTCCTATACAGTTTACCCATACCTTTCAGCTCCATCCTTTCAGTTACAACGGTGGATATCACAGACTGTGCTCTCCTGTTGGTTCATTGATCTGTTCACCCGTTAATCTTGCTCTTGCACTTCTTGAACCCTTTTCTCTTCAGCTGGACCTCTCTTATTTGACATGCCCTGGCTCCATGAACCAATCTATAGCTATAAAGCTGTTTTGAAAAGGACAAAAGTCATCTAATGCAATTATGGGAATCAATAGAGTCTGAGCCCGTTGCTGGAAATCTAAATGGCAATACAAGAAATCCATTCTCTTCCAGGAAGACAGCTGGTATTGTGAAAGTGATGGTAATAGTGGGCTTTACACTGAAAACTCCCCTTTGAAGATTTACGCAACCCTTTAAAGAAGATCAGTTCGTGTTTGTGGTCCGCTGTGAGACCACTGGGGCCCTGTGCTGGTTGTTATTTTCCTTTTTAAATGCAATTAAATGGCAAGTATGGCTTGGAGAGCATGGCGGAAACTTATCAGCACAACATGGAAGGAAAATGTATGCCAGTGATTGGTAAATGCATTTTCCTCTCCGGAGATGAAATACTGTACATTGTTGATGAAGACAGTTGCAGAAATGACTCCACTGGGATGTCCTTGGCATTCCAGCCCCTCTATTAGTGCTGGAATTACAGTGTATAGGAATTCAGCGGACAACTCACTGAGGGTCCAGTTTTTCCGTGCCACATGCACCCCTTCACCCTCAGTGAAGGCTCTCCTTCTGCGTTCCCTGGTATGGCAACCATTTTCCTTCTAATCTCTCTTATTTGTTTTGTTTGGTGTGGCCACCCCGGGGGAGCGAGGCACATAGAAAAACAGACTGCACTGACTGTGCAGAGCTTCAAAAGCCAGGCCCTGTCAGTCATGGTGGAGCTTTCTCGCCATCAGATGTGAGCTGGCCATTTCCATGGGGCTCACAGGCCGCTCACTCTGCCAGTGTAAACACAGGCCCCTCTGTTTCTTTTTCAGTCACTCGCCCACTCGCCTTTCTCTTTTCAAGACAGAAAGATGGATAGCGCTTAGTGTGTGCGACGTCTTGACAGTCGGTGGGCTGGATGTGATGAATTCATTGTGGATTAAACAAATCAGGTGTTTGATCATGTGCGTACTGAACTGCTAAATTACTAACTCTTACTTCATTTGGGATAAACAGTTACGTTTTGCCATCCCTGTGGTGTAAAGTCAGAGATTAACTAGGAAATATAAAAAATATCAGGATCCACAGATTTGCTGCTAAATGGCAAATGATTTTCTTATTTATTTTTAATTTCATGTGGTGATTTCCTTTGTTCTCCCTCCCTGTGTACACACAGTGATGTCTGCATGTTTCCAGGACTATTCTGAGCTATAGCAGAAGGCATAATCTGGATAAAAACTAGTTAAAAAGTAAGATTTCAGTCATTGTTTGCGTCCCAAAGTTATATGTAAGGATACATATAGATCCAGAAGTGGAACGGGTGTTTGCTCTGCATCAAACCTGGTTTTGCTGATATAAAAATGCAAGCAAATATTCCAGATGAAGGCAAAATGACCTGCTCTCATAAACCAAAACTGGTGTCAGAAAAAGTTTGATGGTGTGTGCATCTGTGGAATGGATTTTATTCCCTGTTCATACACACATCAGTTTTCAGAAGCTACTTTTTCTCATTTTTTTGTTGTTGTCTTGATGTTTGGCATTTACTAAATTGGGAAGTATATGCTGATGACCAGGCACTGCAATAATCCCTCTCTGCTGCAGTGCTAGCGGGAATTCACATGTCTGACTCGCATGACCCAAATGTGATTCAGGCACGTGTACATTTTCCCAGGGTGCATATATGAGTGTGCGGTCTGGGTGCATGCACATTTTGAACCCAGACTTATTGACGGCGGAGTGGTAGGGGTGTTAAAAGAAAGGATGAACGAGGTTAAAAAAAATCTCTCCTGGAAATTTCATACACATCAGGGGAGAGAGAGTGAGTCTATGAACAATATGTTCTGCTATAGTGATCTGGTGAAGCGATTAAAGGCAGGAGCTAAAAAGAAGACAGACCTTTGAGACCTAGTCGGCAGTCATCTGTGTGTCTTTCTGATCAAGTACAGCATAAGCACACAGCAGCTGGCCAATAAATTTCACAGACTAAGCAACTAAATGTGTTGAGGTGAAAAAAGCACCGGCCGTGATGAACACATAGAGATGCTCCAGGACAACAGAGGCCTAGATCACCTTCACTTGCATGTTTCAGTTTTGTCACAGAGCTTATAAAAGTGTCTACACCTGTGCTGTATGTCATCCCTGAGAGCTTAAATAAACATCAGATGATCATTGAGAATCAAACGCGGGTTAAACAAACCAAGACCTTTCTGGTTCCTATCCCCCGTTCACAGTCCATCAGCTATCTTTCACTCTACCCCACCTGCTCTTCAGATGACTGAATCTGACTTCCATTTTTAGTGAGCTCGTGTTGTCTTTGGCCATGGCAAAGGATTTGAATACCCCTGCACCCCAAATACACATAGATGCACACACTCTTCCAGCTGCTCACTTTCTGTTAGGGGGCTCTGAGGTGATAGCAGACCCCTCCTGGTAGCCAAACACTCAAGAGAGAACTCCCCCAAAAGGCTGCAGCATGGAGGCAAACACATAAGCAGACTGGACCTTTGAGATTGGTCTCTGAAGTGAATGAAAACTTTCTTTACTCATAGCTTTCCTGTCAGTCCTGCTTTATTCATTGCTATTTTGTTAAACTTTTAAAATTCCCTTTTTTATTCTTTACGCACAATGTAGCTGGCCATCACCAGTGTGTAAATGTGTGTGTGAATGGGTGGATGACTGGATGTGTGAAGCGCTTTGGGGTTCTTAGGGACTAGTAAAGCGCTATATAAATACAGGCCATTTACCATTTACCATTTACACACAAGCAAACACTGTGTTGCTTCCAACATTTCATTTCCTGTTTGATTTGTACTTATTTACATTGCTTTGGATTAACCTCTGCTAGTTATTTTTGATTGTTTGTTTGTTTTCTTATGAAGCAAAAGTCTTGTAGATACTGTTGTGGTCAGAAGTTTACAACCACTCATCATGGGCATGAATGTCACTTTGAACTGTTCTCTTGATGAGAATTGGATCCACAAGTTTGAATTTATTTGGGATTTTCTTTAATCCACACAGGGTCAAAAGTATACATAGAGGCATAGAGGCTCTCTATATTCCATGTATAGAGGCTCAAATAGAGGATATGTATAACAACACAAGGGGCAGTACCCTCCATGGAGAAGGAGGCTAGAGGCTAAGATCAAGGTAGCATGGAGGGAGGTTAGCCAACTATCGGAGTTGCAGAAAGGCGCGATGAGGAAGGTGCCTAAGAAGTACAGGAAGCTGTCCATACCTGAGGCCTTGGAAACTGCCAAGCAAGGACTCACAGCCTTGGCCAGCCGCTTGAGGAGGTACACCAGAGAGATAGAAGGCAGGAGAATAAACCAGCTGTTCTCCACAGAACCAGCCAAGGTGTACTCTCAGTGGCAGGTGAACAATATCAGAACAGCACCACCAAGGCTGGAGACGGAACAATACTGGAAGAGCATGTGGGAGAAGGACGCAACCCATAACGGCAATGCTCAGTGGCAGATCATAGCAACCTCCCCGAACAGGGTCCCCACCATCACAGTGGCAGATATCCAAGAAAGGGTCTCCAGTATGAAGAGTTGGACAGCACCAGGCCCTGACATGGTTCACACCTACTGGCTGAAGAACGAGACTGCACTCCACGAGCGCCTGGCAGCACAAATGAACCAGCTGCTAGTTGACGAGAGACACCTGGAATGGCTAACCGAAGGCCGGACAGTCCTGATCCCCAAGGACCCCCAGAAGGGACCGGTCCCCTCCAACTACCGACCAATAACCTGCCTCAGCACCACGTGGAAGCTCCTGTCAGGCACATCGGTCAATACATGAGCGGGGCACAGAAAGGGATGGGCAAGAATACCAAAGGTGCAAAACAACAGCTACT